GGGGGGGGGGGGGGGCCTGCCCCAAATCCCCCCAGCTCAGTGATCGGCCATGGGGGAGACCGCAGGTGCCTCCCCCAGACCTAGGAGGTACTAGTTACTGAATCAGAGAGGTGTGGGGGAGGGGGGCCCTGGCACCCCCCCCACCCCCCAGCAGACCTGGAAGTAGACCAGAAATGCTTCTGGTCCACTTCTGGGTTTACCTCCGAGCACAGGGGGGATTCCTGCGCTCATGTGGGATATCCCATCTGCCCCAGCAGCGCAGCATTCACGAGGCGTGCCTGGTACCTCGAGGCATGTAGAAAAAACATTTAAATCTGTGTCTATGGCCGAATCGCTGATTCTTCGAATCGGCATTGAATCTTCAGATTCGGATTTGACCAAATCGAACCAGGGACAGTGATCTGAATCAACAAAACGAATCACTGATTTGGGTTGAATCCAAATCTGAATCGAATAGGTACCATTTCTCACACCCCTAATACCTAATGGGTGAGATTATGCACAGGACTTACCGATGTGGAAATGGCAATTGGGTTTTCCTTAAAAGGTACCAGTTCTTAATTCCCAGCCTCAGGCTGACTCCTTTATATCAGAGGCAGCACTTCAGAAGTGACTGCAAAAGTGAAGTGACTACAAAACTGGAGAACATCTGGGTGGAATCAGTGATTCACAGGCATCCAGTGGATCATGACAGGCATTATTTTCCCAGTGGGCCAAATGACATTTGCCATCAGTGTGGAGGCAAAGGCAGTCAGAGATGGAAATACCTTAAGCAAAAGGAAGCCCCATTCAGAGAAACTAAAGGCAGCAGGTGCTGATTCAGTAGGACCACTGGCAAACCTATATCCCTCTCCACCAACCCCTAAAAGCTTTGTATTTTATACCCATTTCACCAAGAGATACACCGAGGCACAAAGCAATGGAGAAGGCCCCCAAACATTACAGCCAATCAATGGCAATGCTAAAATCAAAGTCCAGAGCACTAATTCCCAAATTTCCATTAGAACCAAAAAGGGGTAGAATGTGATCATAATAACAATCATCATCTAAAAACAGGAAACATGCAATCAGGCAGATATTATTAACAAAGAAATAAGGAGAAGGAACATCAGTAAACACTTCCATATGTTTGTTTATGACACAAGTATTCTCGGTGCCATGGGCTTAGTCGAAAATTGACATGCTGCTGAAAAGAAAAATAAAATCTCAATAAACTTTTAACCTCAGCTTAGAGACTTTATTGCATTTGTGGGGCATTTCACTAACTTGGGTTAATGTTCCCTGAAAGTTATAAAAAGGCATTTAAAAATACATCAGACAGGGCTAAAAAATTCAATGATTTATTGATGAGAATTACTGCTATCAGGAAAAAAAAAAAAACAATTACTGCACACAGGAGTCCATGGGAAAAAGCCTGAGAAACGATCTCCCTTCTTTTACACCCAGGTGGATTCATCTATTTTAAATTTAAATGCAAAGAGAAACATTAAACTTCTGTTAAGATTCTGGTGTCTGCTTTAATGTCTTACATCTCCAGCAGCAAGAAAACTGAACTTCTATTAATTACAGGACTCTCCCCGACTACTAAAAGCTGCAGCAAAAATGTTCAGTCCAAGGGCTGGAAAGAAAGCTCAGAAGTGGGATGGCAATTCAGTCTGAGCGGAAGAAACGGATTTGCTGGAATAATGCATCTGCCAAGCTTTGAGGAAACCTGCAGCACCGCGCTAGTCCTGTTGTCATCGGCATTCATTGCTGCTGCATGTATATCGAAGGAGAGAAGCCTAAATGAGAGCTAGCAAGGGCTGGAGCCACTAGTTATTGGACAGGAAATCTATGGAGAGTAAATTAATTGATAGCTGCAGAATTAGGCTGATAGACCTTAAAACATATTCCCATGGACTTAAAGAATCTTAAACCTTACGAGGCATTTCAGATGCCTAAATCCAAAGCATTTTCTTCCCAAACCAAAACTATTTTGGCATTTGTTTGTTTTAGATATTTTTGTTTTATTTTATACTTATTTTATGTAAAATTATTGTGAGTTTTATATATATATATATAAAACTCACAATAATTTTAAACAGCCACAGCCACAACTTGTGGTCTCTCACACATTCATTTAATGGCTCTATGTTGTGATGTATGATCACAATGTAGCTCTATGTTGTGATGTATAATCTATGTATGATCAGATCCCAATCTCGCTTCCTAACATATCATGTGTCATAATCCCAGGCTCCCCTGGGCAAGTTAAAAGCTGGGTGCCCGACTCCACGAACAGGACTGAGGATCCGCTGTCGGCCTTGGCCAGACAGCCTCATATCTAGTTTGAGACCTAGGGCTGTCTGGGGACCAGGCTGACGATTGTCAGCTCCAGCCCAGGCAGCTCTGGGATATGTTGGCCTCGATGCCTGGACAGCCCTGGGTCTTGAACTGGACCTGAAGCTGTCTACCTAGGGCTGACAATGAGCTGATTGTCAAAACCTCACATCTAGCAGCTCTGGCCAGCCTGCTGGGTGAGGGCGAGCTGAGGCTCCCAGCAGGGTAGTTAATGCTCTTAATTGCAGCATAAATGTGATGAGAAGAGGGAGTCACAGGTACACAGATAGTTCAAAACATGGTTTTTCTTTGGTTGTTCCTTTTCAGCTGCCAAGCTGAACAATCAGTTATCCAGACAGTCCTACTTAGGAGTCAAAAACGCCGGAAAAAAAAATCATTACTCAAATGTTACCTCCCACGCAGTTGCCAAGTTAGTTCGGGTGTCTGCAAATGTGGCAGTTTTCCTACTATAAGGGTTTCTTTGAAGTACTCCCAGCACCTCATATATTCAGGCCTCCCCACTCACAACCATAATTTCTAACCAGGAAGGACAGAAAAGGCTCTCAAAGGGATTGCACTCACTAAGTGCCATCTGAAAAGCCAGCCTGCACTCCCCCAGGGGAAGCAATACCACCTGCATATTGACATACAAATGCATAACAACATAACACGAGTCCAAAAGGATTGTCTTAAAATAATCTAACATATGAAGCGTGACATTTCACACAGATTGACTCAAGCTGTAGTGTTGACATAACAGTAGCCATTTCCCCAAAAACAGATGCTCCTCCAAGGATGCCGACACCATTGTGGAAGTCAAAAGATTCTACACCGTGACTTAAACAAATAGCACAAGCAAAGCTGTGGAAAGCAGCATACACATTGGGTTATTTCATTTGCGTTATTTATTAAAATAAACACTGCTCACTCTCTGCTTGCACCAAAGCCAGTGTAAAAGGTACTCGGTGCTTTTGTAATCTAAGCCTCAACTAATCTGAGCTGGGTATCAATACTGAGGCCAGATTCCCCACTGAAATAAACCAGGATATCTTCATTAACTGAGGCTGAGCTACTACACTTTACATCAGCAATGCTCAACCAGGGTGCCACGGCCCTGTAGGGTTCCTTGAGACCCTGCCAAGGATGCCGCAGGGTGCCGTGCAATGTCAGCACTGTTAGGTGTGCAAACGTGATTCACAAGACAACCGTAGAGATTTTAAATAGGAATCTATAGCGTTAAAAGCATTCTGCTCTATTGTGATCCTTCACAGTTGTGTGGTGTTTCTAGCTAAAAAAAGAGTGAAAACTAAGAGCTGGCATTTTCCAGAGGGTGTCTTGAGCTTGTCAAGGGGTGCCTTGAGCCTAAAAAGGTTGAGAACCACTGGTTTACATATCTAGGTGTCTGGCTCTCGTGGCTCTAAATTCAGCTTGCAGAAGGATCTCCAGAACTGAAAGATTATAGCACTGCATCCCATTCCCCCTCTCAGCAGGTACAGCATCATCTCTGCAATGTGCCCAAGATCCACAGACCCATCACAGTCCTCTTACCGCATCTCGTCTCTCTCTGGCACTCAGCACTCCCGGTGTGCCAGCTCCTTCTAGAGAAGGAACGGTGTGCTGGTAAAGAACAGTATGAACAAGGAGACACTTTAGGGAAAATTTCTGTGAAGAATGTCATTTGGTCATCCATGGACCTGAGCAAAGGGCCAGAGCATTAGAGCAGAAGGCCACAATCCTTGAATTAAAAGGGGGGAAAATTAGCTTGCTTGAAGGCAGTTTCTAGGCCCTAAAGGAAAAGGAGAAAAGAGAAGGAAATGGCTGTTCTCTTCCCCTTGGGTAATATAACCCCACCATGACTCCTCTGTGCTAGGCAGAGCTGCATGGGGCTATGCATTTAGGGTTTGTCTCAACAAATAAAAGCGCCAACGCTTAGCCTTGATGCCAGACAAAAGCCAATACCTCCTAGCCCAATTCATAGCTGACCTCAGGCAGCTTGACTTGCCCATCCCTAGGCATCCACGCATAGTAAAAACACAAGCAAAGTCAATTTTTACCTTCTGCCAGTCAGCAAAGAAGTTCTCTCAGAAAGTCTTCTTCATTGTGTACTCGTGGTCCAGCATTTTCGCAAAAAAGCCAGCCACTTCCTCCATTGCCAAGCTCAACTTAATGGGCTTTCCTGAAAGAATCCACAAAAACTTCGGTTGCTGTAAAAAGTGACATTCAATTGCAGCTTCACGTAGGTCAAGGATACTAATGTATATTTGGTAGAGAGGAGCATGAGCAAAAACCCAAGCACTTATCACTTCTGAATTTCTGTTTGCATTGGACCCCAGCCTGGGTTATTCAAGTTCATGTCCCATTTTTTACAATGTTAATACCCTTAAGTAGTGATTCATTTGTTTCTCACTGGAACTTCAGTGCTCAAATGCCTTCGGACACAAGTAATCTGTGAAGTAAGCCCAAGCTGGGAGTCGAGGATGTATAAGCAAAAGGAGCTGAGTTGAAGAGTGGAGTTGAGTCTGACCCAATGCAAATGGTTTGTATAAGGGTAGAACTGTAGTTTATTAGTGTTCACTAGGTGTCCCCCATGTTTGCAATACACCACCAGCCCTTCCAATCAACCTAGAAGTCAAAAGCCAAGAGGACACTCAGAACTGAAACAAACTATTTACTGCAAATCCCTCAAGACAGCGACACTCTCTTCAGACGTCTGCGATGCTGACACTTTGCTTTACCCTTCTCACACGTTAGTCCAATTACACATGAAGTGTGCAGTGGCTCAGACGACTGTTTCACACATTGGCAGACCACAATGCTACAATTTGCCATATACAGCTAACACCATCTATATTGTTGTTTTAAAAATTAGGGAGGAAAACATTAAAACAAACCTTTGGGAGTTGCTTTCTGTAAAAGGATTGATTGGGTAAGATATCTCAGGTTGACTGTTTCTTCAAATTATTCAGCAAGCAACTTGGATGTAGAGTGGATAGTGGGTAGTGTCTGGACTGGATTTGGGAGGTTGGGGGTTTTGGGTTGTTTTGTTTTGTTTTTTTTAAGCCCTAAGACCAAACTGCTAATGTACCTTCTCAGTGTATCAGTGTAAAGGGAGGATTTATCCAAATGTGAAAGTAGATTCAAATTAAATTCAATTCATCAGAGCAATTTTATATGCAGCAATCTTGAGATGCATGGGGAGATGTATTCTCTGTAATTCATGTGTTTTCCAGCTCCAGGATTGAATGGACTCTTGCATGGGTGACACTGTAAATTAAATGACTATTTCTTAAAACTCATGCGAATTTAGGGAATGCAAGAGGTGCAGATTTGACCACCCTAGAAACAAGATGTCTGTTTATACACAGAATAGATATAGCGCTGTGAGAAGCAGTGCAACTTTCCCCCTGTGCTTCCCTCAAACTGGCCTCACTGAATACAGCTAGAGCTAATGGTGCAGCTGCTGGGGAAGTCTCTGATGCAACACTGTTTTCTTGGAAAGTATCAGTCCATCAACAATTAATTTCTTTTTGTAGAAAAAAAGCATACCAGTTTCCATGCAACTCAGTGGGAAAGGTATCTGGGATGCAATTTCCTGTCAAAACAAGAAATGGTCCACTTCAAAATACCCAGCAATCCAGTGGTTAACACAGTTGCTTGGGATAGGGGAGACTTTCTCTACCTAATTTAGACTAGAGACCTGGATCTCAGTCTTCCATTCAAGTAAGTGCCCTAACCTCAGTGCTATTGGGTTTTCTGCAATGGGTCTCTCTCTTTTTTTCCTGTTGGGTGTGTTAACCTTGCATAAATAATTTTATGCCCAGCTCTAGTTAATAGACTGATCTGATATTTAAACATCTATTCAAAAACGTTTTGAATTGCTATCAATGCTAATCATAGTAATGACTGGTGCATGGACATCTAGCCAATGGCAAACAAAAACTAAAAAATATTAGTGGTAACTTTAAATCAGTAACACCAGAAGCAGGATATGAACCATAAATAAGTAGCCCTAGAGGTGAAGACGCAGGTTCTGCTTGTGATATTTTCTGTAAGGTTTCACAGGTACAACAGAGTCAAAACTTCTGGACACGTGTTGTAACTTGATGAGCATGTGTTTGGTATGGAGGGGGTATAAGGAAGGTGGATGTGAATTTGGGAGGTTACCTGGGTGGTTTTGGAAGGAACAGTATTAAGCTAAACCAATTTTCCCATCATGATGTCTGCGAGCATTATAACAAAACTCGCTAAGCACTAAGTGGAATTGGGTATCAATGTAAAACGAGTGTCATAGTGAAATAGCGCCAAGTGGGAGTTGCCTGTCTAGTGAAAGGAATATGGTAGTATGTCTCATATTGCATGCATATTAGGAGATTTATTTCAATGTCAGTATTTCTGAGAGGACTCTTCCATTACGGTTAACTTCAAACCTTCTATCTGGAAGTCGGTTCTAAAAGACATTAGCAGCACTTGATTTTTAGTTCTTAATCCTGAAACACTGAAGTTATAATAAATGAATGCTGTTTAATCAGTATGTTAAGTTTGAAATATTTTCTGCTGAAACTATAGAATCACTTCAATGGCTTTTCCTTATTCAGCTACACTATGACAGCTATTACAGTAATGCCGTTTTGTCAATTACCCTTTCATCTTTTTTTTTTTTTAAACATAGATCCATTTTAAACCTATCATAGATTTTATGACACACTACTTTAATGCATCATTTACACACTTGTCACTTGATTTTCAACCTCTGTCCAGGGCTCCAAAGCTACATGACAGTGTGTTCAATCTTAAGAGAGCAACGCAACGTACATAATCCCTTTTCACTTGCATGGGAACCCCATTTCTACTTTGAAATGTAAATAATTTCAAATAACGGGAGGAGGTTTATTAGAAAAAGAAAGTTTCTCCAGGCAAATATTCTAATGCACATCTTAAAATAAGAGGGTGGATAACTGTATTTTAGGAACACTACCGCAGATACGCACATATTTAAGTTCTGTTGACTACAGTAGGACTCATGCTTTGTTGCATCCATCACTATGCAAACTAAAAATAAAACTTTGAATACAGAACTTCTATTTCGTTACTAAATAGTGCTACCAACCCTACTTATGGGTAGATAAATTTAGAACATGAATATAATGTCATTTCCAGAAGCAGGCATTTGAAGGATTGCTGTCTCATTGCAACAAGCTGTAATAGATACAGAGAAGGGTCATTTATTTCATCACGTAGTAAAGGATGTGCTTACAGTCAGAAGTAGTGCTGCTCAGGGAATAGCAGTAGTCCTCATTTTGACCTCAACGAAACAGACACAAATCCAGAGAAATCCAACCGGACCCTTGAGAGTTACTAGTATAATCGAGGAGTCGGGTCCCTTTAACTAAAGGTGAATGTTATAGTATATGGATAAAAGCAGCCCAATCTGGTCATAAAGCCATCATGTAATAGGATTCTAGAGCAATCTTCACAAAAAGCTTGTTTTACGGTGATTGTGTCTGGGGGGATTGTTTAGATACAGAAAAGAGTCCTTGCTATTGAAGATGTTTATGACGCATTAGGTGCAGACAACTGAATGCAATAATGAAAAAAAATTAGGTCAGAGGTCTGCTCACACCGTATAAACCACCAGGATCAATTTCTGTTGGGGGTGGGAAATAAAGTGATACCACATCTTACTGCCTCTCCAGCCCCAGCCCAAATAACCACGTACCAATTTATAGCTGGGAATGACCTTGGGACAAGTCCAGAGCAAGACTCAAATTCATGCCCCTGGATTTGAGGGGACATGAATACATTAACTATTCTGCCCCTGCATCCTTCCTAAATGAAGCTGTCTTAACAAAACCCAGCAGGCCCAGATGTCGCTCTGGAAACTGCCAAAGGAAAACAAAAGCTGATGGTCCCCAAACCCACTTCCTACTACAAGATTGTACTTTTAGTACCAACTACTTATTTACTGTCATTGGCATCCAGATAAGGAAAAAGGAGCCTCAGTGAGATTATTTTACAGAACAACACTCAGAACAAGCATCCCATTATTTATCCAGCTTGACACCCAGTCATAAGTAATGTGAAGTATATATACATATTAATGGTTTCACTGTTAAGCAAATTGAATGTTCTTCAAATTAAATCAAATTATTGGCCGGAAAGGTTTTGCTTATTGCTCCTGTAGTGGAGAAATACTGTAACATTTTATTGCTTTTTCAAAAGCTGAAGAAGGTCCCCTCCCCTCTGCCAGTTCTAGTGTATTAATTTTCACATTTTATGAGGCATTCAATTATATGAATTATGGACGGGAGATCTGACCTTGCTGCAATTTATGTTGTTGACAGCCCTGGGTCAACTTCTTCCAAAACCTGCTGAGCATCTGTGCCTATGTACATTTTGCAAGTAAGTTATAAAATACTAAGATTAGTCATGAATATCTGCATTTGTCTAATTCAGGTTGAAAGATAGAGTGGAAAATATATCAGTACTGACACTGTTGAACCCAATAAAATTTTAATTTCCTCTTCCCCACACACATCTTTTCTTGTTTAACTTTAAATCAGTTGCTAAATCCATGTAAAACTTGTTGGATATGCAATTATGCTACCTGATCAAAGAAATATTTAACGGTTGTTTAATGTAAAAAAAAAAAAGTCTGCAAATTGGAAATGGCTGTATAACAAAATGGCTCTATATACAAGTTAAGATTGTATATATCAAAATCCAAATAAAAAATACTCCCATATGTATTTAGAATCTGATCGTCACAGAGCTTCAGCATTTTAATTTAAACCGTATGGTTTCTCCTATTTATCCAGCTACATGGGGACAAAGTAAGCACTAGTATAAGTGAGACTAACTGATGAAGGCAAGAAATTGAAGCATACACACGTGCTTTCCCCCCGCGCTGCATGGGCCAATCCAAAGCTCTTCAACAACTACAGGAATCTTTAATGACTCAAATAGCCTTCAGTATCCCCATATTTGAACTATATGATTGCGTGCATACAGAACAGCATAGAAATGTTCAGGAAAAAATGTGCCAGGGCTTATCGATACTTCATTTTCAAGGGGGAGAGAAATAGAAATTTTGTTCCAAGAACTATATTCAGATGATAAATTTCCCTGCATCCACTGTAATTCATGGTTCTTTTAATAATGGTAACTTTAGAAAAGAAAATAATTTTCCTGGCAGGAACAACTTGTGTTGTCTTTGCTTTTCATATGGTATTATTACTTAATTTAATTGGTCATGAATGCAATGTTCAGTTCTCTCTCTCTCTCAGCAGATCAATTATGTGAGCTACCCAACGTGTTTCCAGTGCGGCTACCCTAATACCAAAATAAATAAATAAATAAATAAATAAATAAATAATAAAAAAAAATCTATAGTGAAACAATTAGTGCACATGAGCTCATTACACAAGACATTAGGACCTTTTGATCAATATTCTTGTCAAGTAGGCAATTACCATTATAATAAAACTTCACATTATCAGGCAGTGAGTCATACGCTGGGGCAAACAGTGGACCTCTATGTTCCAGAAACTTCCATTTGATACCATCTTTGTATTTCCTCTCCTTCCACCTGTAATTCATAAGAGGAGAGGTAAACTTTCCAGAGGCATCTGCTGGGAGCCGTTTACAAGATAAATATGTTTCTAGGGGCTGAGTGAAAAAGTTTTTGTTCACCTTATTATTACCTGTAGCAGGACTTGAAGTATTTTTAATTCCCAGAAAGACAATTCCTCAGACTAGGAACAGCTAGGATTACATTCCACTATTGCTGAAGGTTTTTTTTATGTACAACGTGAAGAAGAAAGAGAACATTTAAAAAATCTATGACATTAAAGCCCCAGCATTACACTGACTGAAATTCTGAAATTAAAAGGAATTATTCTTACACCACGTGCTACTCTTTGCTTTCTATTATTTCAATTTTTTAAAAAAAAGCATAAGCATATCTTAACTCTTCATTCCAACTACTTAACTTTCCTCCCCACCCATCCTTTTCTCTCCCCAAACAAAATCAATTAAATTTATCATGCACCAAATACGGAACGTCCTTTATCTTCCCCTCTGCAAAACCTCATTTGCAAGGTGCTTATGCTCTGTATTCAGCAGCATGGACCCAACACCTTTTCATCCCCAAAGATTTTGCAAACATTGATTCCCACAGCGCTCAACTACAGTATATATTGTATTTATTATTGTACAATAAATTCTATTACAATTTCTATATAATGCAATTGAAAACTATAAAATACCTTTTCTTCTTTTCAGAAAACTAAGTTAGGTGCTACAGTAATATAAGAATATGAATTGTCCAAAAATCAGATGTTATGTCCAGTCTTACAATACAGAAGTAGTTCCTAACTTCCAGTATTACAAGCAGAACACATTGGACAATATCTTCCTCACCTTCATGGAAAGTGAAAGCGTTCACATCTAATTTAACCCTAATTTAAGATGATAGCATCGCCTACTGGTGTAACATTATAGCTGATTATCCACAAATTGTGTTCTACGGAAGGTTAGTAAGGGAGGAAATGACTAATAATAGTTCTGCTAATTAAGCACAAGTTGAAATACAGGAATGTAACTTTTATTTTTTATTAAAGCTTTTGTCTGAAAACAGTAAACATGTTAAGCTCCAGGAAAACTTTGGGATTTGAATGTAAGGATTTTTTAAAATCAAGGCATCTTTTGTATTTAAACTTGACTTAATAGTATTATGCTAGATGTTAAGAGACAGTTAAACAGTTAAAACAGTGGGTATTTTGGACCAGTCCCCTGATGAGTAACTTTTGAACTTCACAGCATCATGGGAGTCAGAAAGAACAGGTACACTAGGTACTGTTCATCCTATAAAGGTAGATAATTTTCTCTCAGAAGATATCAGATGTTAAACTGAAATTACCTGGAACTAAAACAAATGCTGTCTTCAAAGTGGTTTGAGATTTGGCTGTGCATATTTATTTAAAAAAGAATCCTAAACCTTAAGAAAGGGAAAACCCTTCTGAAGACAGTAGGCACATCCACACAAGATGCTAAATGTGCAGTAGCCTAATTTTTACACCTTTGAGAGAGGGTGGGATCTCCATCCTTGGATGTTTTTAAGACCTGGCTAGACAAAGCTTTGCCTGGAATGATCTAGTTGGTGCTGGTCCTGCTTTAAAGCAGGAGGTTAGACAAGACGACCTCCTGAAGTCTCTTCTAACCCTAATTTTCTATGATATTATGATCATGGCAAACACTGTGCTATTTCACTAACGCGCAGTAGAATTAGTCCAGCGCGTATTAGTGTTACTAAAAAGGTGTGTACTGGTGCAACTGTGTAGTAGTGCTGGTTACTGCATACTCACTTAGTACCTATTATTACAGGTACTGAACTTAAAGTATTTAAATCCTATTGACTTTACCAAATACTCCTGCTGTAGTGCAGGAGGAGTGTTGGGTAACCTATTATGCAATGTGCAGCAGTTCATATGGGACAGTTCAGTATTGTAAGATATGTTCATTTCCCTGCAACACAAGGCATTGTACACATTTAACGGTTGAAGTGTGCTATGATTTTGGGTCTTGTATGATGGGAGAGGTCAGAACCATGGAGGGAGTTTACAACCAGAGCTTTCATAAGACAATTTCAGTTTTATGGACATTGGATGATTTTTATCTTTGCTCTTTCTTTCTATTGCACACTGCAAAATTGCAAAGTACAGATACAGAACATGCATGAAAATTAAGATTTGTATTGACTTGGCAATATTATGTAGTGTTAAATGAAAATCCCAGCATTGCTAAAATACGAGTCTCTGAACATCTGTACAGTACAATCTGATGCTGCTTAGTTATCAGACAAGTGAAATGTGCATATGATAAGGCCAGATAATACACAAAGGCTACTCACTTGGAAGGTTTTCCCATTCCCTGAAGCAATAAGTGCTAAGTGGAGCTTGAGTATAGTTCAAAAAACATTGTTAGCATAAATAAGGAGGCAGAGATCTTAGACTAAGGCAGATGGAGAATTCTGCTTTGCTATCAGCTAAAACAGTGGTTCTCAGCCTTTTTTGTACAGGACCCACGTGTAAACATTGAGGGCCAGTGCTGACCCAGTAAATAGTTTAACTAGAAAACGGCACCCTGGCCCTGTTGGTGCCCCTCACTCCCAACCCACAGCACCCCCACCTCCCCATCCCTGCTGGTGCCCCTCACTCCTGACCCAACCACTCCAGTGTGTTGGGCTGGGGGTGGGTGTGTGGGGGAAGGGTGTGGGGTTTGGGGGGCATGTGCCCCCCCCCCTAGATTTGTGCACCCACGGCAGGCAGGGAGCTGCAGCCCAACTGGATCAGCATGCCTCCATAGCCCAGCAAGTGGGCGCCAGTGTGGGAGGGTGGAGCAGAGCACTGACTCATTGCTCCCACCACCAACCCACACCACAGCCTGGCTGCTGCTACTCACCTCAGGCTGCGGCTCCACCCCAGAGGGGTGGTGGACAGCCTGGCTGGCCTAAAGGTAGCAGTGGCAATGGTGGCTGGACAATGGTGGCAGGGTAGAGCCGTGACAGCGTCCACGTGGCTAGCAACAGGAAGAGGGGAGGGCAGCATGCCCCGCCCCCCATTACTCTTTGTGCTGCTGGTACCATGGCTGGCGTGTGGTTCATGGCAGTCGCAGCAATGAGCTGGTGCCCTACTCCACCCTCCCATGCAGGACCTAACTGCTTAGCCATGGAGACGGCTCCTGCCTGTCCTGGTCCAGCCAGGCTGCAGCCCCAGCCCTGCTGTAGGCACAAAAATCTGGGGGGCCATATGCCTCCCCACCCTCCACTGCATCATATGTGTACCTCCTGCCCCCCAGTTGCATCATCTCTGCCCCCACACCCCACAGACGTACCGGCAGTGAGCTGTGGGAGCTGCTCTCCACCCTGCCTGGCTGCCACATGCATGTGTATGCACATACATGCACACGGTGCCCCGTCTCATCACTCTCTTCCTGCTCCCCCAAGTCCCAAGCAGCCCCTTGTGGGCTAGAATGTTGCCAGCCTCAAAGGGGAAACCCACACTTGCCTGCATTTTTCTGTGATTGGGTCACAGGAATATTTGAAAGGGTCACAAACACTTTTGGGTCACAACCGATGGATTGAAAAATTCTGAGCTAAAAGTTGGGCAGACAGTTTAATAATTAGTTAAGCTGTTCTCTTTCCGGCTTTTCTTTACTTTAGAATCATAGAAAACTAGGGTTGAAAGGGAACTCCGGAGGTCATCTATCCCAACCCCTTGCTCAAAGCAGAATCATTTCCAACTAGATCATCCCAGCCAAGGCTTTGTCTAGCCAGGTCTTAAAAACATCTCTACTTTTGCCAAGGCTTAGGAACAACCAGGGTTGAAATGACATTTTGATTTGGGGGGTGGTCTGCAAAAAAAATTGGGCTGTCCATCATAATGCCCTAATAAAATCTGAGATACTCCCTGCCAGGTTATGATTTTCAAATCTTACAGGGGCCTCTCATCTCTTATGGGGTGGGGGGCTCAGCTGCCCCTCCCCCATGCTCCCCCACAATTAAAATGCCTGGGAACAACAGGGGAAATTGCTCAGGAAGTAGCACCAGGGATGTACAGGTCACAGTTCTTGAGCATTTATCTTTTTCACATCTTGGTGCTGCTGTTGGACAATGTTAAGAGAGAGAACTTTGTGGAGTGGCACTAAATACAAGGTCTAAGTTGGAGCCCATCCTTCTGACTGCTGAACAGTTTAGAGCAGGGGTTTTCAACCTTTTTGGATCATTGTACCCCCCTGGCGGCCAGATGTGGGGCCGTGTACCCCCAGCCACTGAGTTGGGGGGGG